GTAATCGATTTCTTTCTTTTGACCACTGTGAATTTATGAGGGAAAAGACTCTCTCGACATTAGCGTTATGACCCGGTATACTAAATACATATTCAACCACTTTCCGTAGTTCTGCATACTGTTCCTCAGAAATGCATTGCTTGAAATATGTTAGCCACAAGGCGTTTAAGCTGTCGTCTTTTTGAGTAAGATTCAAATTTGTGCTAAAATTTTTCAAATTAACCCACTCGTCAAATAATTTTTCGTCGTCGATTTCAATGTTATGATCTTTTAAAAAGACCAAATATTTTTCAATGTTGTTCCAATCTAGCAGATCAGACCCTGTTAGATCAATCCAGTCGAAAACTTTTAGATCCCCAAATGGTTCAATCCACATTTTCAAATAGTCATTGATTTCATTATAAAAATCTTTAATTTTAGTTGAAAATTCCTTACTCTTAGAGAACAAAAATTATTTCTAATTCTTTCCTCTAGTAATGAAATAACTTTGCCCAAAATCTTCCTGATTTCGACAACACTGTTTTCTTTTCTTTCCACTTTTTCAATATTTCTGTGAATTATCGCCATTACTGAATGAAGGAGGTACAGGTAACCCTCGGTCTTCTCATTGTTAAAAAACTGCATAATGTACTATGAAGGTTTATCTAAACTAAAAAAATTTTTTTTTAATGGCTCATGGTATTTCAAAAGTTTTCCAATTGCCGGAAAAAGACTTAACCAGCGTGTCTTGGAGTGAGACTGAAGTTGAGTATACTCCATGCCAATTGGTTGCCGTGACTTCACGAGCAGAATTTTCTCAATGTTATTTTTGCATTAGTGAATAAAACATCGATAATAAACACTATATACAAAAACTTTATTTACAACAAATTTACTAAATATTAAAATAAACGGATAACAATTAAAATGACAACAAACGTAAACGAACAAGTCGAAGGACAAAAGTATAACTTACTTAAAATATGTGATGAAAATGAACTTATTGTACTACCACCACCAATACCTACCCAAAACCAAACAACGGAAAACAAGTTCGCAGAACCAAGTATGGGCAAAAACCCAACAGGGCAATACCCTGCCTCATGCAACTGCATTCCTAGAATATGAGAAATGTGGACAGAATGGCATACAATTAAATGAGGGTGAATGCGATTGATATTGACCCTATCTATTGTAGTCATGCCGACGCTGCAATTATATGATAGGCACTAGTTGAATGACATTTTACAAACCTATTGCTTGTAACCTCATCTTGAGGCATATTGAAATTGTAGGTATTTCCTTTAATGTAATAAATTAAATTATATTCAAAGTTTGTGAACCATACTGAGTGTTAGAAATAAAAGATAATATTAAAACTGCCAACATATTCCGCCCGCCTTGGAAGACCGTAGTCTTTCGAAACATACTACACTTATGCGGAATATAGCTGCCTTAGACACTACCTATAAGATATCGCAAGATCTATGGTCATTATGATAAACAACCTATGTATGATAAACAACATTGTTTTTTTAAAGGCGTCATTAGTAAACGCTTATGAACTACATTAATTGCTACACTTCACGATTCATGTCTCAATTCACAAAACCAATCCCGTTGAGTTTTTTGGTAAGAATACTACACTTTCTTTTAAACACTAATGTACCGTGATCCTTATTTATGACAGAAAGCGGCATCACCCAACACTGAAATTTACGAACCATACGGTGCAGCATCCCGGGGATTGGTAGGACCCTCTTCGACAGGAAGAATTGATAGTTTGGTGGCTGCTCGCTTTACTTCCCCGGTACTGGTTTTGATGGTAGCTGCACGTATGATGCCATACTTCCCAGGGTGCACGTCCACGACACGGCCTGTTTTCCATCTCAGGAAAGGAAGATTGTCCTCACGTAGCAGCACCAATTGTCCTTGTTCCAGTTTTGGTCCCATTGAAACCCTCCATTTGCTCCTTTGGTGCAGCTGGCCCAGATACTCCTTGGACCAACGAGTCCAGAAGTGTTGCTTCAATTGACATATATGCTGCCATCGTGAGAGTCTCGTTGCTGGCAGATGTTCAATGCTTGCCTCCGAAACGGATGTCAGCGAGTCTCCAATAAGGAAGTGACCGGGAGTGAGGAAGGACAGGTCATTCGGGTCATTGGAGATTGGAGTTAATGATCGTGAATTTAAAATGGCTTCGATTTCACACAACAACGTGCTAAATTCTTCGAAAGTTAGTGAAGCGTCCCCAGCTACACGTTTAATGTGGTGTTGACCGCGGCCTCCCACAAACCGCCAAAGTGTGGGGACCGAGCTGGAATAAAGCTCCAGCTTATACCTTCATTTAGTGTTATAGTTTGTATTCTGTTAATATTGACCTTAATATATAACAAATTGTGCATTTCTTTTAGTTCCATATTAGCACCAACAAAGTTGGTACCATTGTCGTATAATTTTGAGACCTTGCCTCTACGGGCTATGAACCTCTTTAGAGCGGCAATGAATGACTCATTAGACAAGTCACTGACTAATTCAATGTGAACGGCTCGAGTAGAAAAACAAACGAATACAGCGGCATAAGCCTTCACAATACGTCTGCTCTTTCGCGAGCCTTCCTTTAATTTGAAAGGGCCACAATAGTCCACACCTGACACCAAAAATGGTCGAGTTGGTTCGACGCGTTCAACTGGTAAGTCACCCATATTTGGTTGCGAAATTACTGGGTTTGCACGGAAACAAGTAATACATTTATTAATTATACGTTTTACACTATTTCGGGCAGATATCGGCCAGTATTTCTGACGTATAGCAGCAAGTGTCGTTCGTGACCAGCGTGTAGTTGTGTTTTAAGGACACGCATGATTGAAAGATCGGTAAAACTATGTTTAGCCGGAAGAAGAATCAGCTGCTTTTTACCGAAAGGTATATTTGAGTTTATAAGCCTACCGCCTACTCTTAATGCGCCATCAATGGCAATAAAAGGACAGCGCAAGTATTTTACTACCATTGTGCTTATTTATTTAACTGCAACGTACAGTCTAAAGAGTTAAAAGACATATGGTGACGAATCGTGTGGTAAGCTGCAGCCCCTTCAGCAGCGACAGTCTTCTCATTAATTGACGATTTCTTTATAAAAATGTCTAAGGCTTTAGAAGTCCCTGCCTGGGATTGTAATCTGTTCTTATGCTTGGCTGTTTTCTGATGTTCCTCAATATCTATCGCACCTCTACTGGCTGTAGAGATACTGGATTCACAAATACAACGATACACTTCAGAGTCAGATTTGCCGCGTTTGAACGAGGGAAACCTTTTTCCTAAAGCTTCATTGAATGTGTATTTTCGTTTCGGCATGCTTTAGAGGAAACATTAAACTTATAAACACAATTCTACAGCTGAAACAAAAGAAATGCCGGTAAAAAGCGAGGTCATAGATTAGAAATTAACACATTTACAAGTCTCTTTTTACTTTAATCTGTATTCTCTTAATAATACCAATAATACAATACAATAATAAACACTATAGTACAAACTGACAATATGTCCCATAACTCCAATAAAGAATTGTACACGTATTACACTTTTATTAACTAGAGTCACAGAATTTCAAAATACTCAACTTTTAACACTAAATTGTCACCTTTATATACTTTTTTGTTTACTATTTCGCTTGTTCACTTACGATTAGTACATTTAAGTCCGTTCATTTAAGTTAATTGAAATCCCTAAAGTTCACCTATACACTACGATTTAATTTTACTATTGTAAAGTCCAGTTGCACTTATCACGTCCAGAGATAACTACAGATTTTTTGTTTTTCTTCACTTATTCACTGAATCCGGCTCAAAGGACCAAAAAATGTTGCGTCTTAACCATTTGTTACAATACTTAAATTAAATTTATTTTCACAACCCCTCACCCTGTGTTCCTTGCAGTCAAGGTCACTTCGTGGCGGTACGGTGCGATTTTTTAAAAACTACTTACGATTTATGGCATGACCGACCACCCTCAGATGCTGTTAAAAAATATTTCTTTAACCATTGTTCCTGCACTTTCTAATTTTAACATCTATTTGTAAGTTCTTTACAATTTTCAAGATTTCTCTTTCCAAAAAAAGACCTCAAGAACCCCTTAGACAATATCACGAATACATTTTTATTTTTGCGAACAAATGATATCGATATCGTCGCTCGATTTCAATTACGCTAAGAATTCTGTTTGAATGTTGGCAGTTATTTCCTTTTGTTATGTACTCGAAAAAACTACCCGTCCAATCTCGTACATCAGTTCGGATGTAGTGAAAATACAGCACTTCAACTAGACAAATTTATTTCACAATAAACACGAAAATATAAAAAGTTAATATAAAGGTCTGAGTCAATCAATTGCCGGCTTAAGACTACTTTTTTCTGAACAGCGCAACAGCGTTTGGTACATATGATATCGAAGACATAACAAAGCTAACTTTATAAACAGTACACCGATATGATTCATAATACAGCAGTCGAACACATGAAACACAAATATATAAAAGAATGAACAATTTAGCATTTCCGCAACACCTTTATTGTCTTGAGCTAACCAACTAGCAGTTAAGATTTAAAATAGTGATTCGAAGAAAACAGCGACTGGACATTTTCAGTGATTATGCTCTTGTATTAAATGATAATGTTTTTACAATAACGGCTAAGTATGCCCATTAAATACTTAGATTGATTAGCTGTAAACAATATATGTAACCTATCATTTTTACTTTGTAGCTTTCGAGTGAAAAATGAGTTATTTATATGAAGAAATAAGTGATACTGAACCAACTGATGTGGATTTGGATGCTACACCACCAAGAAAAATTGCAAAAACTAACAATAAACATCACCAACAAAAATTTAGAGACGCCTGACTTCAACATGAGCAATGACTTAATAAGGTGCCTGAAGCTCAGCACAAAGCTAAATGTCGTACGTGCAATATGTTAGGTTCCACCCTGCTTATATGTATTTTCAACGCTCTGTATGTGTATTAACCTTTAGCCTGTATTGCGTTTGTAATATCATTTATCTCATTAATTGTCTATGCAACATTCATATTAATCAATGTTTGACCAATAACGTTTTGCATAGCGAAACCATACTGTTATATGAAACAGTTCTCCTAAACCATTTATTTTAATCGATGCATTACCAATATTTTTATGAAGCAGAACCAAACTTTATTATAAAAGACATTTTCGAAAGAATTATAGTTAGTTAGTTTTTTGACTAGTACGTAACTAATACTCAACACTCAACTCGACCCATGTAAGTTCTTTTTATACACCTTTTAAAAAAGAATTAAACTGTTAGTAGTTTGCCACTTGGTTTTTTCTTCAAACAATTCCACTACAAATTGGAGTTGCAACTAATATTATGATAAATGCAGAGCTAACTGTGATAAAAAACCACATGACCTTAAAAGTTCATACAAATCGTCGCAAGTCTTTAGAAGCTCAGCCGATCATTTCCAAGTTTGTACAAAAGAGTGACGATATTTGCACGAAAACTAAAGCAGCTCAAGCTCTTGAAGTAAAGTTGTGTGGCTTCGTGGCTGAACATAATATATCGCTTACAACATTAATTCACCTGACAACACTTTTAAAATGTGCTGTGCCTGACTCCGATATCATCAAAAAAATTCAATTGAAGTCAACAAAAGTAACGGCAATAGTAAAAAATGTGATCGCTGCAACAGAAAAAGAAGAGCGCCGAAAAGAATTACACACCAATTTGTCCAGCGTTTTGATTAATGAATCCACTGATGTTGGGAACATTCAAACGATGTGCGTCATTGTAAGGAGAAAAATTTGACAATTCTTATTTATTAAAATTGTTTATTGTATTTCTATATCTTGTACACTTTATAAATATTGTATTTTTCATGAAACAGGTTTTTTGATGCTGAAGAAGGTGAAGTGGTTAGCAAGTTTTGAGACCTTTGTCAAGTTTTTGAACCAAATTCAGATGTGGAGAGTGCCACAGTGGAACATTTATTCGAACTAGTGACAAAATCCTTTGAAGAATAGGATCCCGTTCAAGATCATTATTGGATTTGCGTCCGATGGAGCGATTACAATGATGGAAACGAATAATTCTGCAGCTTCGAGATTTATCGAAAGAATGCCCTGGTATCTACATTTTCAAGTATCTATGTCATTCGTTACATCTTTGTACCAGTAATGCATGTAAGAAACTACCCAGCGAAGATTTTGCGCGAAATATTTATAGAGAATTTAAAAATAGTGCAAAACGACAACATTTATTTCAAAAGTCTCAAAGATGCTTAGAGATCAACGTTCACAAAATTCTTCGCCCAGCACATACACGTTGGTTATCTCTGAAAGCGGTTGTTTCCAGAATAATTGAACAATGGCCTAAATGGCCTACNGCGAAATATTTGTGGAGAATTTAAAAATAGTGCAAAACGACAACATTTATTTCAAAAGTCTCAAAGATGCTTAGAGATCAACGTTCACAAAATTCTTCGCCCAGCACATACACGTTGGTTATCTCTGAAAGCGGTTGTTTCCAGAATAATTGAACAATGGCCTACATTACAATTATATTTTAGAGAACAAATGTTAACAATTAGATTAAAATCTGTTGAAGAAATTGTCCAAACTCTTGATAATCCATTAATTAAACTCTCCTCTATCTCTTTTTGGACTTCATTTTGCCCAAATTCACTAAGTTAAATGAACTCTTCCAATCATCGTCAGTAGTTATTACGAGTCTGATCGAACTGATTTATGAACTAAATCCACGCAATGAGACACATCGTTTGCGTTCAGAAAATACGTACCTTGGGGTTGAAGTTAGAAAAATGTTGGATCAGATTTAAATTTGAAATAATGAACAATTCAAATCAGACTTCGCTATGACTTGTGCTGAAGTTTTAATTGAAGGCTGTAGCGAAATAAAGAAACGTTTCAACTTTTCGAATCCGGCTTTGAAATTGATCGCTAAATTCAACCCCGAAAAAGCAATGTTAAAAAAGACAAGACTTGCAATTCCAAATTTCCTGCCATTGATGGAAGCTTTGCTTCGAATTACCTCAAACGATCAACATCAAATAATCGACAATGAATGGCGTCAATTACCATATTTTGAGTTTTCGGGAAATATCGATGTTAAAGAGTCAATTGATATTTTTTGGGCAAATTCGATGGACTGTGGAGAAGGTGATCAGGGAATGACTTTTAAGAACGCTTCCAAATTTGTGCTAAATGTAATTTCACTTCCATATCCGAATGCTTCCAGTGAACGTATATTTAGTCACATCAATTTAATTAAAACTAAGACTCGCAATAAAATGGTAGTTGTAGTTTCAATTGTCAATGGGATTCCTCTAACTAAACAAAGTATAAAGCATAATAACGCTGACTACACTACATACAAACCATCTGAAAGTGAGTATGGTCGAATGAATAAATCTTTAATGTACAAAAAGAAAACTACATCTCAGAATCTACAGACAAAGACATTTATGATTTGTGTCGTGATACGGATATGGATGAATTTGATAGTATTCTAATGACAAATGAGAAGTTTTAAATAAGAATAAAAGTATAATATGGAATAATTTTCGTGCCAGTGATGCGGAAACAAATGCAGTTTTATGTATTCTTTATTTTATGTAAAATATAATGCAGAACACCATTAAATCCCGACAAAGTAACAAGCACTGAAATTCATGACATAATGATTGATTTGAAAACTTAGCTACAAAACAGACAAGCCGATCAATTTTATGGTAAATCTGCCATGGATTTATTAAAGCAGTTTGATGAATTGCAAAAAACAAATTTTAAAATTGATGTCAATAACTTTTTTTCGCGTGTAATGAAAGTGATAGCGCTAGTCCGAAACCATACGCCATCTCCCTCACTCTCTTCGAGCCAAGAAATTATTACGACATACGGTTAAGGCACGTCTGTTAGTATATGTCGATGGTACCATACTCTGTAATTTTCTCTGAACATATAGGAGTTTGTGCAGAAACCTTTTGATGCATATTGTCAGTAATTAAATCTGAAATAAAAACGTAATTAAAAGGTTGCACTGTAATTTAGATTTTTATTCTGAGTAATATGAAACTAAATTGATATATTGTCACGTATACCTGTAATTTGGGTTTGTTAAAAATCATCTTCTACAACATGAGCTTGTAATGTATTATTATGATTAGGGCCGCTATTTAAAACTATCTCTCTTCCTTAAAAATTCTTTAGTTTACAAACGCTACAAATGTCTCACTAAAATCACCGTCGTTTTCTTGGGTGTATTAAAAGTTAGGATCAAAATGTATTTCCGCCAATGTTTTACCTTTATATTTTACTAGAGGACCTCCTTTTTCCATCATTAAATG